TTTAAACACACATTGAATATAAGTTTTCACACATCCTTAAGCAATCAATCAAGCAACTTTAGCACTCTTTTCAAGAAAGATTCGCGGCAGTTTTTGAGAAGTTCTTTAAAAATCTTTCTTGAGGCATATTGCTTTTCTTTAAAGAAGAAACTCACTGCAGAATAGCATAAACTGGTTTGAGCTTTCTAGTTTCTTCTTTTTCAATTCTTTTACATTCTTTTTGTATTGTTTGGTGCCTGGAATTTGAGCACTGGTTTCTCTGCAGCTGGAATTTGGTTGTAGAGGTTGTCAAGAACTGGAATTTGGTTCTTGGTGAAAGGTTAGGTGTTGGTGCCTGGAATTTGGGCACTGGTTTCTCTGCAGCTGGAATTTGGTTGTAGAGGTTATCAAGAACTGGAATTTGGTTCTTGTGATAGATTAGGTGTAAGATTGTTGAATCTGTAAAACATTTAATCTAGTGGAACCCAGCTGGAATTTGGTCGGAGATCGGACGTAGCCCTGGTATTGGGTGAACCAAGTATAAAATACCAGGTGATATCTTTCTTAACCTTTCTCTCCTTTAAATTTTGTTGCTGCATTATTTTGATTGATTGCTTTGTGATTCAAGAACAGATCTTTAAACTTAATTTTCGAATTAGATAATCTGTTATTTGCGAAAAACTTTCAAAGATCAATTCACCCCCCCCTCTTGATCTAAAACTACTTTTCTAACAGCTACGTCCAGTCTCCAGCCAAATTCCAGCTGGGTTCCACTAGATCAAATTTTTTACAGATTTACAATCTTACACTTAATTTACCACAAGAACCAAATTCCAGTTCCTGCACTCAACCTCTCACCAAGAACCAAATTCCAGCTTGATAACCTCTACAACCAAATTCCAGCTGCAGAGAAACCAGTGCCCAAATTCCAGGCACCAAACAATGCAAAAAGAATGTAAAGAAATGAAAAAGAAGAAACTAGAATGCTCAAATCAGTTTATGCAATTCTGCTGTAAGTGTTTCTTCTTCAAAAGAAATCAAGTTGCCTCAAGAAAGATTTTCAAAGAACTTCTCAAAAACTGATGCAAATCTTTCTTGAAAAGAGTGCTAATTTTGCTTGATTGATTGCTCAAGGATGTGTAAAAACTGATGTTCAATATATATTTAAAAAGTCCAAGCAACTCTGTTTTTATAGAAGATTTTCAAAACAACTGTATTAATTAATCTGTTAAAAGATTCTTTTAATCTGTTAAAAGTGCAGTTTTAATCTGTTAAAACTTCTTTTAATCCATTAATACGTTCTTGATTCTTTAACAGATTTGTTTTAACTGATATGACAACGTTTGTATCAATTAAAACACTTTACAAAAAATCTTCTAAGTTGATTTAATTGATTGTTCCACGATTCAATCGATTGAAATACTGCAAAACTTTCTTGTAAAACTTTTCAAGTAATTTTAACTGATAAAAATAAGTTTTAATCGATTAAAACGCTGTGTAGAAATTTTCTAAGTTGTTTTAATCGATTGAAACGAGATTTAATCGATTAAAAGAGTTCGATAGGTCATAACTAAATTCTGATCGATCATAATCGATTCTGATCGGTCATAATTCAATTCGATCGATCATATCTGATCTTGATCGGTCATAATTATATTCTGATCGAGCACCCTGAACTCCAAGTGGTTTTAACCGATTAAAATCAAGTTGTATCGATTAAAATACTGTAAAAACTCTTCTCTGAACATTCTAAGTAATTTTAATCGGTTCTATCAAAGCTGTATCAGTTTAAAACTTGTTTAAGAAAGCTTTTGTCAAAATACTTTGTTTTTAATTGTTAAAAACATTTTTAGAGGCATTTTGCAAAATCTTTTAAGTGAAGAAACCTCATGCAGCAGAAAAGATAAAATGATTATACCTAAGCATAGCTGAAGACACACTAATTCTTCTACTCTTTTATCTTAGTGACTTTTGTCCACTGCAAAGTTGTTTTTGACTTCATCTTTGACTTCATCAAATCAATGAGATCTTTGCCAAAGTATTTCAATGAGATCTTCATCACTTTCAAGAAACACTCAATTTTCTTCCACTCCAGACTTCTTGCGGTGTTTTCTCGTTCAGCTTAGCATGTGGACATCTATTTTGCACATAGATGACACATTGCACTGTTTTTACCCAAAACTCCTTTGGCACGTTTTTGCTTCTCAACATTGTTCGAACCATGTCAAGAATGGTTCGATTCTTCCTCTCGGCAACTCCGTTTTGTTGGGGTGAGTATGGTGCTGTCAAAAATCTCCTTATCGTTTGCTCCTCGCAATACTTCATGAGTTCGGATGAAATGAACTCGCCTCCTTGATCAGACCTAACAGATTTGATAGGCATGTTAGTCTCTTTCTCAACCATTGCTTTAAATCTCTTGAACACCTCAAACACCTCAGATTTCTCCTTCAAGAAATATACCCAGGTTTTTCTTGAAAATTCATTTATAAAAGAAATGAAATACCTTTTCCCACTGAAGGACTCAGGGGTAACCGGTCCACAAAGATCTGTGTGAATCAATCCGAGTTGTTCCTTTGCACGGTACTCAGCCATCCTCGAAAATGAGGTCCTTGGATGCTTCCCGAGCACACATTGTTCACAAAATTTCTTTTCAAATTCCATAGACGGGAGTCCTTGCACCATCTCTTTCTTTACCAACTCGGTCAGCCCGCCAAAATGCAAGTGGCCAAACCGAAAGTGCCACATCATTGTTTCATCCTTCACGTCAAGTTTCAAGCACCTCTCTTGGACTATCTTCAAGTTCAGCTTGTACATTGTGTTCTTCTTCATTTCAACTCGGGCAATCAAACGATCCGACTTATCCTTCAGGTATAGTACTCGGTCTTTCATCAGAACCGAGTAACCTTTCTCCATCAGTTGACCCATGCTCAATATGTTGCTTTTGAGATCGGGTACATAGCACACGTCTCTGATTTCTCCAACTCGGCTATTCTTCTGCAGGTACCAGATTGTACCTCTGCCTTTTACTGCCACCTTTGATGCATCTCCAAATGACATGTGTCCGACCTCAACTTTAGTGAGCTCCTTAAAAAGGTTCTTGGCCTTGCACATGTGGTTACTTGCTCCTGTATCAAGATACCAAACCGATTTGTTAGAACAACTCAGACTTAGCTCGACATCCGAACTTCTCGACATCATCAATACTCCTTCTTCCTCAATGTCCTCAGAGAGGAGGTTTGTCTCCTTCTTCCTCTCAGATCGGCAGTCCTTCGCGAAATGCCCAATCTTCCCACAATTATAACATTTGATACCTGAATAGCAGTCCTTAGCAAAATGGTTGTACTTCCCACATTTGAAGCACTCAACTCCGGAATTCTTGACTGACCACCTCGGCCTCTACCGTCACGACCTCTACCTTGTCTTCGGTCACACCAGTTTTGTTGACTGACTTGCTCCTTGCCTCTTTCATATCCTCCTTTGCCTCTACCACCTCGACCTTGAGTGTTCTGAGCATAAGGAACCTTCTTCTCCTTTAAGGTTGCCTTTGCTTGGAGTGCTTGATCAAGGGACTCCTCTTTCTTCTTCCTTCTCCGCTGCTCATGCGCTTCAAGCGACCCGACAAGCTCTTCCACCACGAGCACCGACAAGTCTTTGGACTCTTCTATTGCCCAAACGATATTCTCAAAGTCATCAGTTAACGACCTTAAGATTTTCTCCACCACTTGGAAAGTGGGCAGCGTCTCTCCATTTCTTCCAAGTTGATTCACCACGGTCTCAACACGGGAGATGTACTCGGCAACCCTTTCGACCTCTTTCATCCTCATGCTTTCAAGCTCGCCTCTAAGAGTTTGAAGCCTGACTTGCTTTACGCGATTATCCCCTTTATATGCCTTCTCCAGAATATCTCACGCTTCTTTTGAAGATTTAGCATTTGCTATCTTCTCAAAGTCGGACTCATCAACAGCTCGGTACAGTACGTACAAAGCCGTTTTGTCCTTTACTCGTGTTTCTCTCAATGCAGCAAGCTGGGCAATCGTCTGCTCTTCAATATTCTCTGGTTCTTGGTGCCCATTTTCGACCACATCCCATACTTCCTGGGAACCAAGGAGAGCCTTCATTTGCAGACTCCAGTTATCATAGCTTACGCCTTTCGATAACTTTGGTAGGGGCATGCTGTTAGCTAAGTTGGTCATCTCGAACAAACTTTCTAACTCTCAAACTCTCTCTCTAACGCACTCAGACACTCAGACTCTCAAGCTCTGTTGCCAATTTGTTGACAAACAAGTATCTAAACAAAACACTCTATATGTTATCACTTGATGTGTTTACAATGAGTGGTATATGATCAATTTATAGGCCTTTGAATATGGCCTCTCAACTACATGCATTTAATATAACTACTACCTTTCAACTACATACATTCAATACAACCACTATCTCTCAACTACATACATTCAATACAACTACTACCTCTATAACCACTATCTCTCAACTATATGCATTTAATGGTTACCTAACACTTTATACATCACCCTTGTAATGTAAACAAATGAATGTTCTCTTATGTTCTTTCCATGTGTTTTACGCTTACAAACTTAGTCAATGTCATGATGAAGAACCTATCCCCAAGCATAAGTGTTTTACGTCAAATAACCTTGAAACTTCATTTTCAATAACAATGTAACTTTAAATTTTTTTTTACGTATGTCAGGGTTCCAACATAAAAATAATTGACCAAGACAACTCTGGATAGAAGTTAGATGGTAGGTTTTGGCATTGTATTAAGGTTCCACAATAAAATAAAATGTCTTAATTGTTTATTTGTAACTTATGGTACATAAAAAAGTAAACATAGAACTCTAAGATTAGGAGCAAGAGCATGTTTTGCCATGCACACAACTAAGTTGCATGGCATGTCAATCCACTGATACATAATGTTTATTTGAAACTGAAAACTTGATCATAATCTAACAAACAGAGTTCAAGCAAGTGAATTTTAAAAGCTGAAGAAAGAATGATGCTTAGAAACCCTTCCATGGTGAAGCAGGAGGAAGGGTTCGATAGAGGAATGAGGAGATGAAGGTTAGAGCTCGCGCTGGTTGCCAGCTTGGCACCAAATGTCCTGCTCCTCTTACTGTAACAAACGTCACTCCTTGGTATTTCACCACATACCCTCCAACCTGTGATTATCAGAACTTGATCATGCTTAACAAAAAAATACTACAAAATTTATTAACTGGGTCTAAAGAAAACTCAATAGTTCATTATCAGATCACAAATTTGATGGAGGTTTTATGGTCAAAGTCATAAATCTAGTAACTTTTCATTACAATAAAGAATCTTTTAATGAAAAGACAATGTTGAAAGGGTGCAATGATACAAAAAAAAGTACCTCATTGCCCGAATACCATGGACGCCAAGGAACTTGGATAGGGAGCTTGAGGGTGTTGACTGAATATCTGGAAGATGTGACTGGCACCACTGAATCAGTATCACCACTGTAGAAGAACAGGCCAAAAAATTTAGTACTTGGGATACATCAATCAAATTTCCAACCGCATCATTGTAGAGGAGTGAAAGAATTAGTTGAATTAAAAAACATGGTTATTTTGGCATACTTCAGTGAAATTGAACTTGCCTGTATATCCACAATCCAATGCCATTGTCGATGAGATACTTGATGACTGGCAGGATGGTAGCTGGGCTATCATTCCAGTTTAACACATCACTGTAAATTTTGCAAAATACTTGGTTAGCAATTCACATATACCAGTGTTTAATTTGATATGATGAACTGTATTTCTTGTTCTAGTTTATTTCCTGTTTTTAAATGGCACAAATAAGATTAGTTGTTTCCGTTAGTTTGTATTTAACTTAATTATTTGCAAACTGTAAGTAGAGTAAAAACAAGGTGATGTTTTTTAATGTTTTGTGATTTGCCAAGTTATTGGAGATTACCTGCAATGGCTCCAGTTTGTGGGTTTTGCATGCAGAGCTAGTTGAACTTCAGGCCTATTTAGATAGGCTTTCCCCTAGTTATCAGAACATGGATCAAAATCATTTACCTGAAATTAAGTGTTGGAGGGCATTGAAAATTACTTGAAAAATGCATATCTGAAGTAGGAGAATCATGGACCTAAACATTTTCATCATACTAGCTAGTTGAATTTAATGAACTGTTTTGGTAAGGAGATGATCTTCTTGGCAATTTCTATGGTGTTGCATCGTTTCTGTTTCATACTCACATTGCAATTTTTTGCACATATAGCATGTTTCTTACGAGAATTCGAGATTGCTTGCACCAGTTTGATCCAACAAAAAAAGTTAAAATGTACGTACAATTTGGGATTATTTTGCCCTTCATGCAACAATGAGGCACACCAAGATATAATAAGACTACTATACTTACAGAACCATTTGATTCATTTCTGAGAGAAGAATCGTGACACTGTGGAGCGTAGATGTTGTAAGAGTCTATCTTCCCTTTCTCAATAAAGGCTGTAGTTGTTGCCTTGGTACATATCACAGAAACTTTTTCAGAAGTGAAATCGCAGTACTTCTCAATCAACTCATGTGTTTGATCTGAGCTCAAAGCATGAGTCCATAAGTAATCGAATATCCCCTTAATACTTGTCACATCATCAATCCAAGCATTCCCTATCTGAAATTTTCAGTACAAATGTACAAATTAATAAAAGATGGCAAGTGGTATGATATCACATATATGTTATTTACAGTAGTCTTCGAACATACAGCAATGCCTTTGAGGTTAATATTTTGGTTACTGAATTTATTGTTCAGCGAAATAGTGTATGCAAGCTGAGGCACATAATGGCCAGCATAGCTCTCTCCAGTTATGTAGAAATCACGAGTTTTGTACTGTGGAAACCTTTCTAGCCAATTGATGAGGAAAACATAGGCATCTTTAGCAGTATTCTTATCTCCTGCATGATCATAGTCTGAAGTAGTGTTTGAGTATGAAAAGCCTACTCCAGCAGGGGATTCAAGGAACAGCACATTTGCCACTGCATAATGCACCATCATGTTAAGGTATATCATGTGTTGGAACTGCAGCATAAATGTAGAAAAGTCTCACCTTCATTCCAAGCATATTTGTTATGATAGAGTGTTTTGCCATCAGGGTTTATTCTGAAAGGTCCCAGTTCCTCAAAAGCACCGTACCCCAATGAGGAACAACCAGGACCTGTGAGTTTCAAACACTATGTTGTCAGAATCTGAGTCAAATGATGAAATTAAAATAGAAAATAACATAATGTAAAAGTAGGAAGACAGTTTGAGCTATTTTTTTTACCTCCATTGAGCCACAATACTAAAGGTTTAGCTGAAGGGTTATAAGGAGACTCTACAAAGTAATAGAAAAGTGCTCTTCCAGCCTCTGGATCAACAGTAACATAGCCTGAATAATGGTCAAAATTCACCCCATAGGGCTGGCCAGGCAATTGCACAATCTTGTCAGCTTGGCTTAGTCCCTCTTGGGGTGCAACATAAGCAGAAGAATGAGTTTTCAATGCATCTTTCTCAGCCCAAGAAAGGGTCAAGAGAGGTTTCTGTGAGGTCCTCAACTCATCAAGTTTCTCAGCCCAACTAGCTTTGCTGTAGGGAATAAGAACCAAGAGACTCAAATTGAGTAAACAAATATAAAGAGAAAGCTTCTTCATCTTGTTCACAACTTGGTTACTTGGTTTCTGAGTATTTATAGACCATAAAGGGTGGCAAACAATGCAGAATTGTTTTCTTGTGCTTGAGATCTATGAAGTGAATGAAGACAAAGATCTCACTACTTCTGATCATTCATAGATCAGCCGGCTAGTTTGCTTAGTTTCTCATTCAAAATGAATGGCCTTCCCTTGTTGCCATTGTTGTAGAATAATTTGAAGTTGTTTATTATTTTAGCACATTGTTTTTGACTTGGAAGAGTTCTGTGATATTTGTTCCTCTGACTGTTTCTTGTGACTCATGCAATTGTACTTTATCTTCAACCTACTTCCCAATCCTAAGAGATTATAAATGGCTTGTTCCGGGACTTCTTCTTCCTTTGTTGTGCACAGAAACGAAGCATGCCAAGGACACTTTCATACTTTTAATGTCCAAAATATAGTTCATTACGAGACTGGATATATATATATATATATATAAAAGCCTTAAACATTGTAAGTCATCATTTCACAATATTATTTTTTTTTTCATAAAAAAAGTGTTTGAAATAACATGAATTATGTCTTTTAAGATACTCATTTGCGTTCCTTATTATAAAATATCTTAAAAAAATTCTTAACCTTTTTTAGAGACTCTTCCAATTATCTTTACATTAGTTATTTTTTTACCATAATACCCATATTGTTTTAAAAGTTTATACATATGAATTCTTTTCTCTCTTTAATAATGGAGAATTTGAAAAAGTTTAGCTTTAAAATTTTAAACAATTCAACCACACACAAATTTAATAAATTAACGATTTAAGTGATCCATTTTAAGTTATTCAAATGAATTTAATGTTGAAAATGAGGTTAATGACATACTAAATGAAATTAACAGGAGAAGGTGTGGAAAAAGAAAAAAGAAAGAGGATAAAAATATGATTGTTTGATCTAGGTGGTGGAAATGAATGAAAAGTAAAATGAATTTATTTTATTATTAATGATTGTATTTATTATTTTAATATATATATTTATTTATTATTATAATATTAAATAAATGAATAAAATATAAATTAAAAGAATATTTATAGTGAGATTTCTTATCACACTTATTTTTAATAAAGGGTAATTTAGTCCATCTATTATTATGAGATATTTAATTTAACTCTGTAAGATAAAAATTATATTCAAATTTCTTAACTAATTATAATCGCAGATGAATCTATTTATTTGTTATTTATTTATTATATAACGTGAAAAGTATATATATAATTTTTTTATAATAAAAATTGTGAAATTCTTGCATTTTCTCCTTTCTTAACTTTCCATAATTAGAAACAAAATACAATTTGGAGATTTCATTATTTTTTTATGTAATTTATATTTTGGTCACGATATTTGAATTTACTAAATTTGATTTTTATTTTGGGGCCTTATAATTGGAATTTACCAAATCTAGTTTAACTTTGGAAAAGAAAAATACAAAACATAAATATTTTAATATGTGTCAATAAAATATTTAGTGTTTCAATCTCTAAGCATGGAATATTGTTATTCTTTAAAAAAACATTGAATATTTATTAATTACACATAGGGATATTATTCATTAATTAAAAAGTGGATAATTCATAAGCATGAAATTAACAGACGTAGTTTTATAGCAAGTGAGATGCATATAACAAATATTTATTTTTATGTAATTAAATTTATGATGAACTGAAACTACAAAGTATACCAACTATATTATAAATAAAAAATATTGTTATATAAAAAATAATTTGAATATATAAATTATATATTATATTTATAGTAAATTATTTAAATAATAATGATAAAGACCAAATAATAATTCACTTCGGCCTATAAAGATTAATTAAAGAATTAATAATAAAAGAAAATGTGTATACTAGTTAACATTTTTTTTACTCTCAACTTATTATGTAATTCTTTATAATTTTTAGTCAAAGTTATTTTATTTTTAATATGTTAACTAAACTTATCTAATGCATAATATTGAATACAATTATTTACAAATATAAAGTTAAAATGATAAGTAATGCGAGCATTATGAAAGGTTTTTATCATGATATCATCAATGTTTTATTATATTTGATAAACAATTTTTATTAAAAAATTATTAAAATAATAATAATTATAGACATAATAACAATAATGTAACGATAAAATATTAACTATAAAACAAAAGCATTTTTTATATTTTTCAAAATAGTTAACTAATACTTTTTAAACATATTACACAAAACACTAATTAAATTTAAATTTTAATATTTGGTTCTCTCATCATTATATTGAATTAGTATATAGTATTTAAAAATGATTATTAAGTTAATATGATCATTTTGCTTTTTTTATTCAATAAGTTAACAATAAATTAACTTTTTTTATATGTAATGCATGTAATCAATTGATTTTATCATATCTAAAAAATTAAATATGGTTTTTATTTGTAATAATTACTCAATATTTTTATTGTTAAATTTTCTTAAATATTTATCTCGTAATAAATGTTTGATAAATATTCTATTATCATTACTTTAAAATATGTTTATTATGTTATATATTTACTGTGAGAATACTAACTATTTAACTTAAAAAAAAAACATTTTTTAAATTAAAAAAAGATTTTTATGTCAGACCACTTAACAACTTAGAGTAATATCTGACATAAAATATTATCATTTGCTAGTCTGAGGATTGGATGCTTACTCAATATTCTTTCCATTTTTTTTTCTTGTCTAAAAGTTACTCACTTATACTTTTTGATAGATATTTGGAACACCCCATCACATCGAATGACAAGCATATGACATCTAGATAATAGCCCTGACATATAGTATAAGAAAGAAATGTATTATTGATAGAGAAAATTGGTTGGTAATGTTGAGTAAAAAAAACCCTTATTATCTACGGGTAAAATTCGTAGGTAATGACAAAAATCCGTAGGTATTACACTCACTTATACAAAATATTTTTATTTATTACAACCTCTCCCTTATTTTTTATTATATTTTTGGAACTTTGAATTATTATTAGATTAAGGGAATTGTCATTAGCAGAATTGAATCCAAGTACCTTAGAGTTGGAGGCTAATACTCCAACCACTAAACTATTAGGATATTTTGATAATAATATACGAATAAATTATATTTATATTTATCCGTGTAAATATATAAATATATATAAATATAAAATATATATAAATATAAAATATATATAAATATAAAATATATATAAATATAAAATATATATAAATATAAAATATATATAAATATAAAAAATATATATAAATATAAAATATATAAATATAAAATATATAAATATAAAATATATTTATATTTATATTTATATTTTGATATATTTATATATTTGTATTTATATATTTATATATTTGTATTTATATATTTATATTTATATATTTATATATTTATGTATTTATATATTCATGTATTCATGTATTTATATATTTATCTATTTATATATTGATGTATTTATGTATTTATATATTTATGTATTTATGTATTTATATATTTATATATTTATAGTATTTTTTGTAGTGGCTAAAAATGTCCAAAAAAAAGATGATTATTGACAAATTTTCGATGAACAAATATTTGTTGATAATTTTGTTGTTAGTAATTATTACCGAAAAAATTTATGTTTTAGTAGATAATTATCGACAGATTTATTAATGAAAAAAATAGTTAAAATTGACTGAGGGATACAATAATTATCAATGGATCAATCCGACCATAATTATTTTACTCAAATAGTTTATTAAAAATATAAATAATATAAATTGATAATTATTGTTTTACCTTAATATAATTTTTTTAAAATATTTAATATTATATATATATACACAAAGTTATATGAATTTAAATTCTAAAATTTTCTATTGTAAAAAATTATTTTTTAAAATCAGTATAAAATTGTTAATATTTAAATATAAAAAATAATTTTTAGTGTAATATAATATTATTGATATTTATTTTGAAAAGTTATTAATTATAAATTTTTAAAAATATATAAAAATTAAAAAACTAAACAATATATACCAATATATACGTGTATTAAATTTTTTATTTTAATATTTACATTAATTAATCTTAAGTAATAACAATAAGAATAAATTTTTTTAAACTAATATTAACATATATTAACTACATTATTAATAAATTATTATTAAGTTAAAAACAAAATTTGTAGCAATTAAAATAATTATAATATTTGCATATATAAAAAATGATTATTGACAAAAAAATTTAAATGTTGATATTTATGTAAAAAAAATTCTAACAATTAAAAATCGTCACAAAATATATTTTTATTTTATTTTAATTTAACAT